TCCACCAAGACTATTAAATATGCACATCCCTTGCAGTCTATTTAAGACTGAATTCCAGGGGTTGGAGAGATGCTCGGTGGTTAAATGTATTGGAGGTTCTTCCAAATGCCAAGGTTTGATTCCCAGCACCTACATGGTGGCTCAATCTTCTGTAACTCTAGCTCCAGGTGATCTGACGCCCTCTTCTGGCCTCTGTGAACAACAGGCATGCACATGTAGTATAGACATACATGCGGGGAAAACATTCATACACAGAAATAACAAAATATTTTTTAATTTAACGTAAACTTTATGTCAATGCCTAGACTCTGGGGTCACTGTAGTTCTTTGCCATCTTCCCAGTACGGCCACATCGGATAAATCTTTTTCCACTTTCACTATCATTTGCCTGTGTTAGTAGGGACTTGCAGCTGACAGGCCTCTTAAGCTAGGCTCTGAAGCTTAAGAGGCCTGTCAGGGACCACACTTTGGCCCCAAGGTCTCATCTCAGATAACAAACCTTAGGGAATGATTGGACACTATTACCATTTGCTCGAGGTACCCAGAAGTTGAGTCAGTATTTGGACATTTGTCTCTCCTGCCCTTAGGAGTTTCAGGAGACCATTCTGTCCCACCTGAGGGCTCCTAACACCCCGACAGCCCACATGAGAATTAAAGTCATTTCACTTAGGATGGAACATAAGTGATGGAACCAACTCAGGATGGAAAAGCCAGGAAAAGCAGCAACAAGGACAGGCAACAAGGATGGCAGCCCTGCCGGAGAGTCCTCCCTTCTCAGGGCACATTCCTGGAAAGAATTTACTGACAGGAGAGTCTCAGCTAGGGATTTCCAGCACCCTGGAAACAAAGGGCAGCCCTAGGTAACTGGGGCTGTAAAAGCAAGTTCTTCAGAGAGCTTCAGAGAGTCCTTCAACCCTCAGGGGAACGGTCTACCTGGCCAGCAGAGACCTGGAAAGGCTTCATGTCCTCAGACAGGAAGTAGCAACGTACGATGTCTGCACTTGCTCAAGTCTTTGGCTGTCTAGCTGGAGAGAAGCATCAGGGTCAAGGGCCAGATGGCAGTCCAGGGGGAGGCACTAGGTAGGTGGAAACACATCCAGCCTAGAGGCTCTACATGTGGAGACCTGGGAGAGGGGTAGGGGACCCGAGGAGTGGGGCTGCAGCTGGGAGGACCCACTTGGAGCCTCTGCAGGGAAGAGGCTGATGCCAGCCAAAGTGAGGCCTATGTGAGTGAGACATCAGGGAAGAGGCACCGAGAGAGATGCCTGGAAGATAGTGACACAACAGCTCTCTCACTGGACACACAAGACTAGCTGAAGCAGCAAACCGGCTGCCGTGGTACTGAAGGAGCCTCAGTTTCCCCATCAGCAGTTTTCTAGTGGGTTCTCCCAAAAGCCACTCCCTCGGGTCACCCCAGGCATGTGTTGAAAGATAACAGACTTAGACTGGGGCTGGGGCTAAGAGGCAAAGGAGGGAAGATCTGTCTGGTACCAGAGAACCCAGGGCCAGGTTGGGAAGAGGGACACCCACTCCCGGGGACAGTCGTCTGGATGGCAGCTGCGACCCTGGTACGGGGAGGGTTAAGCTTCTTGCGGTTCCCACCCTCCCTGGGCTGGCATGTCCTCCTGCATTTACGTCTTCTGAAAAATATTCAGCCTGCAGCCTGTCTCACTTGGTGCTCCTGGCCCTCCCCCTCCTTTGGCCCAATCCAAGAGGAAGGTCAGGGGACTTTGGGAAACGGGAAACTCCAAAACTCCGGACTCTGGGAGAAGGGTCAGTGGGGAAAGGCGGGGCTGTGGGGACCAAGAGAGGAGAAAAAGGAGATGAGAGGGCGAGAGGGGACAGCTTCCAGGGAGCTGCTCCAGAGACCGCACAGGGAAAGGCCTTGCTAAAGCAACCAACCTGATATTTTTCAAGGTACCAGACAGAGGCTGGGGACTTGGGAGATGAACAGAGGACCCAGAGGGAAGAGAAAATGGCTCAGAAAAGAGGCTGTAGTGGCCATAGCCAGCAGGACTGCTTTCTGGGGCTGTTGGCAGGGAACTCTAAAACTTTGCTGGCATTGGGGAAAAAAAGAGGCCTTGCAGAGTGGGAAGGGCTTGTTGGATTACCAGTAGAGGTTTAGAAAGGGCCACTTCTGCTGGCCCCAGGAGTAGGTCCAGGGAGAAGGCACCCCCCTATCCTCACCCCAGTTCTGAGAGCTGAAGGCCACACACCATCTTTGCAGGACCAGAAGGACTGAGGTGAAGCCATGAGGTGCCTGCTGATCTCCCTGGCCCTATGGCTGGGCGTGGTGGGCATATGCGGGACAGAGCTCGAGCTCAGCGGGGCACAGCGCAGGGGCCTGCAGGTGGCCCTAGAGGAGTTCCACAAACACCCACCTGTGCAGTGGGCCTTCCAAGAGATCGGTGTGGACAGCGCTGATGACATGGTTAGTAGTGGCTGGGTAGGGAATGAAGGACTGCAGCCCTGGAGACCAGGGAATTCCCAGAAAGCTTCCCTGGGAAAGGCCGCCAGCCAGCCGTCCTCCTGGGCTGTGCCAGATCTAAGTTGTGGTGTTTGGGGGAGGAGAGCGACACCCGGGAATTATCTGCTGACCTTCTTGTCTGTCTGTCCGTCTGTCTGTCTGTCTGTCTGTAGGTCTTCTCAGCTGGCACCTTTGTGAAGTTGGAATTTAAGCTCCAGCAGACCAGCTGCCTCAAGAAGGACTGGAAAAAACCCGAGTGCAAAATCAAACCAAATGGGGTGAGTGAAGGGGCTCTTTTGACGGGACAGGTCGCCTGGGCATGAACTGGAGCCCAGAGAAGCCCTGAGCTCATCACTGGGGGCTGTCTGCAAGAGGAAAATTTCTCCATCAGAGTGGACCCACATGTCTGGTTCCTCCGAAAGAGCTTCTCCACGGAGGATATCCTGTACACTGAGCAGGCTACAGACAGTTCACTGCAGTGTTTCACAGTCATCAACCACCCTAAGGGTGACACTGTTGCTATGGTGACCTTTGGGGTGAAGATGCAGCTCTTTGGGTTAGGTTCTTGCTCTCTAACAGCTTTGTGGGTTTATTGAAGGTCTTGGTTCGCTCCATCAGTTAAGGGGAGGGACTGGGTTTTACTGGTGATTTATAAGATCGTGGTTCCAGGGCCTTTTATCCAAATTAAATCGTAAGGGGGGAATGTAAATATGAGGACACGGTGGTAGGGGCCCTTGCTTTGCAAGCATGAGGACCCAAGTTTGAATCCCCAGCACCCATATGAAAACAACTAGGCATAGCTACACATGCCTATAACTTCTGCCCAATAGTGGACAGAGGCTCAAAGATACTCAAGGCTTGCTGGCTGCCAGCCTGATTCTGGATTCAGTGAGAGATTTTGTCTCAAGGGAATAAGGCAGCCTGGGCTACTTCTTAGGACCCTGTCCAAAGAAGAGAACTTCTAAAAAAAAATCTCTTATACCCAGGGTAAGCTGCATTTCCATCTGGCTTGCATATTCCCCTTACCCCTAGAATTAGCTCTATTTCTGTTGCTGTGATAAAGACACCATGACCAAAGCCCATCTAATAGTAGGAAAGGTTTATTTTGTCTTACGGTTCCAAAGGGTTTATAGAAGTCCATCATGGCAGGGGGATGTGGCTACCAGCAGGCACGGCTGTCAGAGAAAGAAGCCGAAGCCGAGAGCTCACATCCTCAAGAGCAAGCAAGAAGCAGAAAGAATGAACCGGCAGCGGCTTTAAACTCTCAAAGCCCGCCCCAGTGATACACTGCCCCCATCAAAGCCACCTCTACATCCCCTGAGACAGCCACCAACTGGAGATCAAGGATTCAAATACCTGGACCTATGGGGGACATGCTTACTCAAACCACTATATCCCTCCACTCTAGAGAATGCCGAGTCGGCCAGTCCCCACCCTGACCCCCATGACCCCCCTCACTCCTTTTTCCTCCTCCCCAGAGAAAGCGGAAATGCCTGGCTTGCATCAAATTGGACCCCAAGGGTAAAGTTCTGGGCCGGATGGTCCACTGCCCGGTACTGAAGCCAGGGCTTCAGGTAAGAAGGGACAGAGAGAGGTTAGGGAGAGGGCTGGAGAGACAGACCACATCTGGGTCTGTGGGATTCTGGAGAGTGGGGCAGGGGGTGCTGAGGCATTCCCCTGGGGGTGGGGGGTGGGGAGGTGCCTCTCCTCCCAAGCACTGCTGCGACAGACGCTGGTTCTAACAGCAGGAGGAGCCTCAGGAGTCCCAGTGCAGTAAGATAGCACAGGCCGGCGAGGACCCCCGCAGCCACTTCTTCCCTGGACAGTTTGCCTTCTCCAGGGCCCTGGAACACAAATAAGCCCCGGACAGGTAGGTTATTGGGGGGGGGGAGAGAGAGAGAGAGAGAGAGAGAGAGAGAGAGAGAGAGAGAGAGAGAGAGAGAGAGAGAGAGAGAGAGACCGACCCTGGCATGAAAGTTGGGCTGAGGGAGGCAGAGAAAGGGTTATGTAAAACTTGGAAGAAGGTGGCACATGCCTTTAATCCCAGCACTCGGGAGGCAGAGGCAGGCGGATCTCTGTGAGTTCGAGGCCGGGCTGGACCGACAGCCTCCAAAACAATACAGAGAAACCCTGTCTCGTAAAACCAAAAAAAAAAAAACCTTGGAAGAAATCTAAGAGTAGACCAAATCAACCTCCCTCACACCCAACCTGGCTCTCCTTTCTTCTCTAGAACTCCATCTTCCTGTACAGATGCAGCAGCAACCAGTGGATGCATGGGGACTGACTCCCAAAGACTTCACACTTCATGCTAATAAAACTGCTGAGTCTGTTCCTTTCCAATCTCGTGTTGTGGTTCTTCCCTCGACTGTGCACAGAAGAAGAGCTCAAAGACCGGATGGTGTGTGTGTCCCCACACTTCCTGCCTAGTATCAGGAAGGAGCAGGCGGGGTGAGTGTAGGAGTCTCCTACAGGACCAAAGCAGAGGTATGGAAGCCCGTGTTCTTGTGGAGGAAGAGACAAGAAACGCTACAAGTGAGCAGAGAACTATTTAATAAGAATTGGCAGGGGGCAAGTAACCTTACCCACAGAGCCTCAGGCTTGGCACTTGGGATAGCCCAGGCTCAGGATGCCCTGGGTCTGGCTCCAGTATTTGCCATACAGTGAGGGAACCTCCTATACCTGCCAGAGGCCACCGAAAAGCATGCCCCTGCTTGCGTTGAAGGAGGGCGGGGAGGTGCCCTAGGGGAGGAGATGTGGGGTAGGAATTAGGATGCTCTCAAGAAAGGGGTAAATGAACAACCCAGTTTGCAAGGTCAGTGGCCAGAGGAAACCAGAGAGGCAAGGGCATGGGGCAGGAAAGGGATGAAGGCGTCAACACTACGACGAGAATTCCCTGGCTACGAGGCACATTCAGAAGACAAAGGAAGAAGTGGTTTCTGCATGGCTCAGAGTCTGCTGGGCCTGGGCCAAGCTGTCCCCGGCCTGGCGGTCCAGGTCAAGGCATTCCTGCAGTGTGTCCTGGAACTGCCGGCAGGCCTCTTCCAGAATGGAGCTGCTCTGCGTGGGCCAGGATTCCCAGTAGCCAGGATCCACCCATGGCTGGGCCTCTATGGCTCTGGGGCCTGGACTGGAGCTGGGGCGCAAGGAACTGTCCAGGTCTCGGCATAACTGGTACAGCTCACTGCCCTGCCCCCTCACACGCTCCCCATCTATGACTTTGAGGCCAGGCAGCAGCTCTCGAACCACAGCCCAGTAGGAGGGAGCAGCGCACAGCGGGTTGCTAAGCCGGGCCAAAGGGTCCCGGAGCCTCAGGTGCTCCAGGCCCTGCAGCCCAGCCAGACACTGCAGCTGGCCAGGAGTGGTCAGCAGGTTACCAGCAACATTGAGGTTCTGCAGGTTTTCACAGGCAGCCAGTGGCTCCAGCCCGGTCAGCCGATTATTGGAGACGTTGAGCACAGACAGCTGGTGCAGGGATGCTAGTGGGCCTAGGTGGGTAAGGGAGTTACCCGACAGGTCAAGCCACTCAAGGCTCAAGCACTCCCCCAAACAGCCCAAGTCCACCAAACCTAAACCCCGAAGTTTCAGCAACAGGATGGAATCAAGGGCAAACTCTCCAGAATGGGACTTCAGCATCTGGGGTGTGATACTCAGCCCCTCAGCTTCTCCTGGCTTCTCTCCAGGAGGCTCCATGACACTGAAGATGATTCAGGTGGCCCGGCCCCGGCAGTGCTGCTGTATATCACAGGGACGTGGTGTCTCTGGGGATCAGCCGGCTGCTCTCCCTCATCTCTGCTTGGGCCCTAAAGAGAGACAGACAGTCAGGCCAGACTCCCCTGAGCATGTGTGCCCTGTGCTGCAGGGAACAGCAGGATGCCATGCAGAGGGCATAAAGTCCTTGTGCTCACAGAAATCAGGAATGTTAAACACACACAGGTTTGTCTCTTCAGAGAGAAAGGTATACATGCAGCCTAGGCGACGTCTGGGCTATCTGCATGACCAAGATCACACCAGATCTTCCCCTGGGCCCTTAAGATGACGCATGTGGTCTATCTATAGAAGCAATCTTTATGGGAGAGGTGACTTGTACTTTGAAAAGCATTTCAATGTAATTATGCCCTAAAGGTTATTGTATGCGTGGGATTGTTACACCAGGAAACTTTTTTTCCCAAATTGCACCATACTTAAAAATGTCTAAAATAAACTGCCTGGTGTCAGACTCTAAGAGGTTTGAACCAACACCAGCTACTGAATCATGGTAAATCAGACTTTCTTCTTGCCTCACATGGATAGATAGATACTCTCTGGCCATGGTGTTTGCAGAGGCCCCCACAATGCCAGACCCACAAGCCTTGATTGCTGGAGCCAATGGCCAAGAGACAGGCAAGGCCTAAGATCATCTAAGAAACAGGACAGGACACAGCCCCAACCTGGGGAAGTGGTTCTGGCTCACTCCACTGGTCATATCCATACTACATGAGGCTTAGGACCCGTATTACCAGTTTGGCTCTAATCTGGACTTCAAAACAAATATTGATACTTGATTTTTCTAGTAACTATGACGATATACCTTTATTAACCCTAAGGGGTTCCGTTTTGAAAGTTAATTTTTTTTATTGACAGTTGGTTTGTTGACTTTTCTGAGACAGGAATCGACCCAAGCTGGCTATGAATTCTTAATCCTCCTGTCCTCCTCCATCCCACCTCAGAACTAGGAGTACAGGCTTATACCACCACTCCTGGCTTAGATTTGTTTTCAAATAGACAACAGGTAAGTGCCATCTTCCAGAAATGCAGACCCAATGAGGATATGCTGTGGCTTTTTTCATTCACTCAAAAATGTTATTTCCACTTTCCCAAAATTGAAGTGGTATCCAGAATGTGCAGACCGACGTACATCTCTGGCTAGAGCGATAAGTCCTGAGGGGTAGGCAGGAACTTAGTCCCAGGTACAGAGGAAACTGAAGTCAAGGGAGGTAGGACAGGCTGGAGGTTGATGGAGAAGCTACAGTGAGCTGCTTTCACCCTGCTGCTCCGACGCCAGGCAACCCCTATCCCACGCTCCCCGGCTCCTCAACCAGCTCTTCAGCACCACCTCTCGGTCATCGTGAAGACAAGGACCACTGTGTGCTGGGCAGCACGGCGCTACTGAAGGTTTCGCTTCACGGTCCAGAAGGGCAAATTCGGGGAGGTGGAGAAGTTCAGGAAGGCATTTTGGAGCAAGGAGCAGGAATGCCTAACACAGCTCTGAAATGGGGGGGGAGAAGCATGTCATCAGTGGTTGTGGGACAGTGAGCCCGTGTGTGTGCGTGTGTGTGTGTGTGTGTGTGTGTGTGTGTGTGTGTGTGTGTGTGACATCGTTGTTAGAACGATTCTGCCCTGTAGGGGAGGGACAATGTTGATGCTACCCACAGAGGATAAAAGTTCACTTGGACAGAAAAACAAAAGCAGGCCTCATTCCAAATACCGTTCCCCAAACCACAGACTTTGGCCAGGCTCAGACCCAAGAGTCTGACTTAGGTATTTACACATGCAAAGAACATTAGGATGCTGCCAGCGTCAGTACTGCTCAGAGCCTGTAGGTGTAAGGTACTGGTGACTCCCAAAACCACGTTCACTCAGTATCCCCTCCTCCAAGGAAACCAGGCTCAGGGCGCCATCAAAGAGCTCCCCTTAAATGAGTTGACGAGACCAGGAACGGATCCTGCACAACCCCTCAACAGTACATCTGAGGAGGGTACTCTTTTTTTTTTTTTTTTTGGTTTTATGAGACAGGGTTTCTCTGTATTGTTTTGGAGGCTGTCGGTCCAGCCTGGCCTCGAACTCACAGAGATCCATCTGCCTCTGCCTCCCAAGTGCTGGGATTAAAGGCATGCGCCACCGCCAGGCTTGAGGAGGGTACTCTTGTCTTCATGATATCCGCTCCTGTCAGCTCATTAGCTGTAACAATACAATCCACTGGGCCATGAACTCTCTGAAGAGCTTAGAGGAGACACCAACTAGAGACAGCCATACTGATGGGGACAACCTCAGGGGTGAGCAGTGTTTCTGGGGCTGCAGAGCTCCAGATCTCCGGATCCTGAGCACCTGGGCTGCTCTTGGTACCCAGAGACCAGGGACAAATGTGCCACCGTGGCTCACTACCTGTTCAATTAGCAGCTAGCCCACAGAGTTCCAGGCTAGAGGCTTTGCTCATTTTCTCTGCAGTTCCTTCTCTGGAAGTCAGCTGTGAAAAATCACAGGATAGGTATAGAGCGGCTGGACCAGAGGTGTCCTTTCTTGTGTTCCTCTCTGTATCACACATTCCCAGGGGGCTGCTTGTTCCTTCACTTCCCACATCTGTCAATCCTATTCCTCTATGGCTCTTGACCAGGCCTGCAGTGACCACCTTGGCACCAACTTCATGGGCTTTTCTGCAATATCCACCAGGAATGCCTGCCTGCTCCTATACTTTGGGATGTCCTTTGCCTCCCATCACAGACTACCACATTTTCTTGTATTCCCTCCCATTTCTGACCTCTCAGTCCCTTATCTGGTCTCTTTTCCCTCTAAGTACCCCCTTAAAGTGATATTCCTTTAGGCTGCGTCCACGGGCCCTATTGCTGGACAGTCTCCAGGCTGTTCTGCTACTCAACCACCATCAGACCAAGGTGCACAACTCTTTCTTGGCGCCCGTTGCTCTTTTTGCATCAATTCCATCTTGCTACAGAGATGCCCAGCCTCCCAGATGCTCAAGCCTAACACCTGGGTATGTCCTCAACTCCATTCCTCCTTGATCAGGTCCCTGGACATTAGGTCAGGAAGTCAGGACACACAGGATGGAAGAAATGAACAAGGCAGAAAAGAGGCTGGTGAGCCGGGAAGTGTTAGCCTGGAACAGCACAGACTCAGAGGAAAACAACACACTGTGAGCACCCAGAAGCTATTGAGCAGCACCTTTCCACAGCAGAAGATGATGCAGCAGGGGGTTAAACTCCACATGTGAATGGAGATGGCAGGGCAGCCTCTAAGAGGAAACAGATAAGCCGATTGAGATGGCTCTTACACGCTCCTTGGAGAAAGCTCAGAGGATTAAGAGTCAATGGCTCTGAGCTTATCACCACAATGAATGAAGGTCCCTGAGAGGTGACACCTGTAGAAGAACCGGGCAAAACTGTGAGTACAAAAGGCCATCGTTGGCCCAGAGCTATTCCTGAATGCCGGAAGTGAGGAAATTTACCTCAGCTCTTACTTTATGACCAAAGAATCTGCAACCCAGACTACTAGTGCAAGCCTCCAGACGCTGTCAATGAAGACAGCACAAGGCAATAAACCTAGGCAACGGTGCCAACAGTAGTCTACAAAGAAAAAAAAATCTGCCTGTCAGAGCTGCAGCATAGGGTTCACCACAAAACCTCCATCCATAGACCCATGAGCCACTGGAGCACAAACCCTGTTCTGTTTCCAATTCCTGGTGCTACGTAGATGTTTAACAACAACAACAAAAAAAAAATGCATGAACTACAATGAGCCAACATGACCCTCAAGACATACTTATGGGCAGCGGGAATGGTAGCACATGCCTATAACTGTAGTTGTTAAGGGTTAAATCTCTTGATACAATAATCCAAAGTGGACGACTCTTTACAAGACAGAACCCAAGCTGTTCCAGGAAGAGACTCCATACATCTTTAGTCTGAAGCACATTCTGGGAAGCCTGTAACTGGAGCATTTGGGAGGCAGAGGAAGGATCAGTTATAGGCTAGCCTGAACTATGCATTTTTAGAAAAAAGTCGAAGAGGGAGTTGGTATAACTCAGTGGCAGACAGCTGCCTGATATATGCAATGCCCTGGATTCGATCTCTAGCACCTCCCCCAAAAAAGTAGAAAAGTGATTGTCTGGTTGCCAAGCTCAAGAAAAATTAGAAATGATGAGCTGGAGGTGTTACCAGCAAAGGACTTACCTGGCATGATTCGATCCTCAGCAACAGAAAGGAAGGAAGGAAGGGAGGGAGGGAGGAAGGGAGGGAGGGAGGAAGGGAGGGAGGGAGAGAAAGAGAGAAAGAGAGAGATTGAGAGGGGGGAGGGAGACAGGGAGACAGAGACAGGAAAGGAAAAACCTTATATTAATCACAGCAGACCTGGGACACATGAAAAGCCATTCAGGGGTAGATTATCCAGGGCTTGGGAAGCAGAGGAGGAAGGGACAAAGAGACTCCCTGATAATCCTATGTTGGGCCCCAACCCCACAGGGTCTCTGTGAGTTGCTGGTCAGCCTACAAGTGCAACTTGTTTTCCAGCCCAAGTGCTTCCTGTTTTCTAGTCCTGGCTTACTGCCCCGGCATTGACCCTCTGGCATCAACATCTAGCAGGAGGAAAACACGCTCTCTTCTACCTGGGGTTTTTCCACTGTGCTGTAAACCTGTATATAAAGCTCCTCTCTCCTACAAGAGAGAGACCTCTTAGCACTTGCAATAAAGATACACAGACACACACATTCTCCTGGTGATAAAGGCAGCACATGCATTCTTAGTACAAAAAAACAAAAAACAAAAAAAAAAACAGAAACCAGGCTGAGTTTGAGGTTCTTTTTGAACAAATCTTCAGGCATATTTCTACAGAAAACGAGAAGTTTCAGGAGTGGAGGGTGGCTGCCTGGATAAGGCTGACAATACGGGATGGAACAAAGGATGAACAGACAAAAAGGGAGAAACTTTAAAAAGTGATTATACGGAAACAAAGGGAAGAGAATTTCCAGAAGATGACAGAGCCCGGGCAGCATTGCGGTGATATATGCAATGCCCTGGATTGCGGGTGTGGGAGAGGCAATACAGCCATCTGCCAGAGCTAGAGGGGGACCTGTCCTGGGAAACAGCAAGGAATCTTATTTCTCCTGACAGGAAACAGAAAATGTGTCTGCAGGCGGGGGAACTGCAACAGTGTATTGTCCGAAGCTTCCCCAGGGAAGCCACATAATAGTAAAACCTGCAACCTACATGGGACTAGGAGATGCCTTAGCTCATACCACGTATTGTCTGATTAGAGAATATGACGTTCTCTTTGTTATTCTGCAATTCGTTTCCAGGAGCATGCTCAGAAGGGACCTTGCTTCCTGGTTCTACCTGGTTGCACCCCCACACGTTGCACCCCACAAGCCGTGTGTTCAGCTCAACAGTTCCACCACGCACAAACTTGGCAGCCCCTTCTCTCTGAACTTCCTACGCTAAAAGAAGCTATGGTCTCCCACCCCACCCGAAGTTTAGCCATTTAATGACAGATGTTTTAAATAACATCCAACCACCTTTTGAGCTCAAATTAGCAAGTGAAAAAACAAACACAAAAACCAAACAAACAAACAAAAAGACTACACCTCCCAGCTTCCCTAGTGAACTGCCAAAGTCATTTCCATCCAATTCTGCCCCTCTAAGAGGACGCATCCCATCTCCCTCTGTAGGCATTTCTGCCATCTGCATACGTGGGTGACAAAAGGCTCCCTCACCGTGAATAAACATGGCCCCTATAAAGTCAGATCAAGCCTCCTTCCCTCCTTCTCCTTCCTCTTCTCCCTCTCTCGTCTCTCCCTCCCTCTCTCTCTCTTTCTCCAGCGGCTCTTTGGAAGTAATCTAACACACTAGCAGAACCCTTGTTGCCATGTATACCCAGATGCTGTGACCGTGGGCTAGGGCGCCTCCCGCTTCCTGGCAACCACGGCTGCACCCACCTCACGGGCAGTTCCCGGGGTTGAGGGAGTGACTCTAACAGCTGGCGGTTCCGGAAGGATCCGGCCTCCCGGAGCACACAGAGCGTGCAACAGACACTGCGCTTCCGGCGCAGGCCCAGCCTACTCCGGAACCTGCCAATGGAACGACCTGAAGGGGCGGGGAGTGTAGTCGAGGCTGCTTGCGAGGGACGGGCTACGTCTAGTCGTGCACGCAGGTTACTCTGACGATCAGAGAAAAATTCCGGTCTCTGGTTTGGAAACCTGGGGCACTGGTGCAGGGGGACTTTGTTCCTATTAGTTTGGTCATTAGTACATTTAGCGGTGCGGCGTTGGGAGGGCATTTAAAGGTCCTTAACGAATTAAGAACATGTTCGGTGACATTCACTGTGTGTGGCTGCAGGCCGGTGGTGACCTAGATTCTCTAATCCGTTAAGTGATGCCCAGTGCGTGCTCCCTCCCCCTCCCCGCCCGTGGTGGTGCGATCATGCTCATCGCTTTGCACGGCCGACAAAAGGCGCCATAATGATAAGAAGGACCCCTTCTTGGAAACCTTACCCATATTTTTCAGAAACCTATCTCAGAATGTTTTCCTGAGACAAATGTACACTGCCTGGTGCTCCCGGAGACCTTGCAGCAAGGGACATCACCAGCGCAAAACTGTCACCTTTGCAAATGACATTGCCCTTTGTCACCTTAACTAGACAAAGGGGAGAGTCTTTCTCTCACTTTGGATTCACAGGGCACTTCACATTTTCTATGTTGGTTCGGGAGCTAGGGTTTTCCATCTCCTGATGTTTCCTCTGCCCTTATACAAAGCAAATCCAGGTCAATCCACCCCTCCAGCCAGCCTGCACTCTCAAAGTATAGACACATTTTTGTTTTATCTCAATTGATTCTCTCTGTGTGGTGGACCTGCCTGGGTCCGTTTTAAGATTAGAAACTGTAGCCAGGCAGTGGTGGTGCACGCCTTTAATCCAGCATTTGGGAGGCAGAGGCAGGCACATCTCAGTAAGTTCGAGGCCAGCCTGGTCTATGGAGTGAGTTTCAAGACAGCCTGGACTACACAGAGAAACCCTGTCTTGAAAAACAAACAACAAACAAACAAAAAGAAAAAGGTGTCATCTTGTTACAAGGTCAAAATTCATTCCTGTTTTCTGTAAAACTTACTTGACTCATTTTCTGGAATTTGACATGTTCCACACCTTGATAAGATATTCTGCCAAATAATTTTGAGATGTTCTGCCAAGTGCCTATGTAACCAAAATCCGTGGAAACCCCCTAGCCTTGGAGATTATAGAAAAACCTCATTTTTCCTTTGTTTGGGGCTATTCTATCAAACCTTGATTTAGAGAGATTGCCCTGTCTGACATAAAATAAAGCTTGCTTAATTTGACCAGAAAATTTGAGTTGTTGGCCTTTACTCTTGTTCAATGGGATTAACACATGCTTCAGAAATGGGAGTCTTCTTTTCTCCATAAATTAAGAAATGCTAAGGAAAAATTGTCAAAAAGATCTCTAATCCGGGCAGTGGTAGTACATGCCTTTACTCCCAGCACTTGGGAGGAAAAGGCAGGCGGATCTCTGTGAGTTGAAGGTCAGCCTGGTCTACAGAGCGAGTTCCAGGACAGCCAGGGCTACACAGAGAAACTCTCAAAATGCAACATTTAGGCTTTTTTTTTTCTGGCATCATGAACCCATTCTCTCATGCTTTACTTTAACATTTTGCTTTTGGGAGTTAAGACTTTAGCCCTGTCCCCCCCCAAAAAAAACTTAATTTTTGTTTGTGGTTTGTCTTTTTTCCATTTAGAAGCCCAATTCTCCCACAGTCTCTGCTCCCCCCCCCGTGTAGCATACCTGATCTATTCCTGGTTTCTATGGTCTGTTCCAGCTTCCTGCTCTGTTGTAGTTGTCTGTCCCTACAGAAATACCTGTCTTTTACAGCGTAATCTAAATCTGATAAATTCTTCAACTTCTCAAGTGTACCCTTGACAAAGGTATATATTATCTGTACAACCACTAGCATCAAGATAGGGGCTATGCCATCTCCCGGGTAACACACCACCCTGCTTCCCACCCTATCCCCCAAGTAACTGATAATCTTGTTACTAAGAACTAGATTAAATTTTTCTAATCTCCCTCCCACCCAGGTTTGTTTTGATTTTTTTTTTGTTTCTGTTTGTTCTGTTCTGTTTTGTTTTGTTTGAGACAGGGTCTCACTATGTAGCTCTGGCTGTCCTGGAACTCACAGAGATATCTACCTGCCTGAGATTAAAGGTATGCACCATTATGCTCCGATTCTAGTCTCTTAGATACCTGAAACTATGTGGAATTGCTATGGTATGGATTCTTCTGCCTCCCTGCAAACCCAATTCTTATTTTGAAATTATTACCATGAGATGAGGAGGCCTTTGGGAGGTGATTGTCTTGAAAGTGGAGCCTTCAAATGGGTTTAATGTCTTAATTAAAGAGACCTGGAGCTGGGCGGTGGTGGTGCACGCCTTTAATCCCAGCACTCGGGAGGCAGAGGCAGGCGGATCTCTGTGAGTTCGAGGCTGGGCTGGACCGATAGCCTCCAAAACAATACAGAGAAACCCTGTCTCGGGAAAAAAAAAAAAAAGAGACCTGGAAACTTAACTTGTTCTTCATGTGAAAATATTTTAGAAGTCAGGCCCTCCCTGGACACCAAATCTGCTAGCTTGTTTGATCTTGGACTGTCTAGACTCCGAAGCCGTGAGAAATAAATATCTTTTGTTGATAAGCTACTAGCCCCACAGTATTTTTATTAAAGCAGCTGCGCTGGATAGTGTTATGTCAGCTTGACACTGGCTAAAGTCATCTGAAAGCAGGGGACTTCAAGTAAGAAAATGCCTCCATAATATCCAGCTGTAGGACATTTTCTTAATCGGTTACTGATGTGAGCCCATTGTGAGGGCTGCCCCCGGCCCCCCTCCCCGGGCTGCTTGCTGGTCCTGAGTTCTGTAAGAAAGAAAACTGAACGAGCCTCCAAGTTCCCACCCTGTTTGAGTTCCTTTCCTGATGGGCTATTGATGTGGAAGTGGAAGCCAGATTGAACCCTTCCCGCCCCCACTTGCCTTTGGTTATAGTGTTTCATTATAGCAACAGAAACCCAGACTAAGAGAGACAGTAGTCAAAATGGATTAAAAGAAGCGTGTGCTTGAAAGTGTCTCTGGTTTATTTTGCTCAGCCCAATGTATTTTTT